CCCCAAAACCCCAAAACCCCAAAACCCCAAAGGGAAAAGATAAACAGGAATTATAGCAATTATTTTGAAATAAAATAGACATTCCATCAATTTCTGATAATTAATACGTTAATGCAATAATAGTTATGTATATGCAATTTTGAAAAGACTTAAGACACAAAATTAATGCGCGACCATAATTGCTTCATAATCATAAATCAGGCTTTCAATGCCCTTCAGTTATATTTATATTCTCAAGCACAAGTTGCTACTGTATTAAATCTCTTCTATTAATTGCACTCAAGCTTACGTTTCTATTTACTTAAATCATAGGGTCAAATTATTGAATTGTCAATAACTGCAATCTAGAGTATATATCTCTCTATATTTTCTATTTTTTCTATTCTTTCCTGATATTTATTTCTTCTTCGAAGTTATGAGTTGTATCTATTATCAGAGCTATTTAAACGATGAGTTTTTAAAATTCACTAGAATTTCCTTCTAGAATATCAGAATTACTCTCCTAAAATTATTGCTCATCTTTATTATACTTCATAAGTTTCTCCTGACATTTTCGAAGCGATTTGTTAAGCCTTTCTGCCCAAGTAATGTTTCCATCAATAAATAAAGCCAAGAACAGACATTACTTTATGCTGGAAAGACTATGAATGTTTTAAATATCAGCAGATCTAAGAATCTGTTGCACCATCTTATAAAAATAGGTTCCATGAAGAGTGTGAGGTAAAAGTTGGTTAAGAGACATTTCTTTTGTAGCCTGAAAGGTCTGAATGTTATTCATTTCCAAAAGTTTTTACTCTAATTCTTTTGAAAATGAAAGCTTTATTATTTATAACTTGAGGAAGAAATAGTATCTTTCATAATTTGGGCTTATGAACTTTGAGCACTCATATTTCTTAGTATAAGATTGAAATTCACCTAGTGAATTTGAAGTTTTGCAAAGATGAATCAGAAATATCTTAATAACATCTTTGAAATGTTCATTTAAATAATTGAACTAGCTTTGCTCGCAAATCTAATAGTTAGGATTCACAATTTAGGCGTATATAAGATTATTTTACTAATTGGATTCCATTAGTTTAACTTCCTCTAACATCTTGAGCAAAATATTCCTTTTGTATAATAGATCATCTAGTCTTTCAATATGGTGGCACATCTCAACTTCCCTTTTGAGAATTTCTACAAGGTCTTCCAAGTTTGGCTGATAAACATATTATATCCATATTTAATCTAAAATATTTAAAAGGAGAAAGTCTCCCAAGTAACAGTGGCAGCTTAGAGATTACTCCGTTAATATACCCTAATTTAGCAAGTATTTTGTAAAAGTGTCCTTAATGACTAAGTTCATTGATATCTTCTTCATTAGCAATTTTAGATTGGATAAGTAATAATACATCATCTATAGGTATGAAAAAAATCCATTAGATGATATTAAAGCTTTATTTTTCCGAATTTCTAAAGAATGAGAAATGCAAATTGCTTTGAATTATATCAGCAAGTATTTCATAATACTAACAGAAAATTTCTATTGAAGAGGGTCCTACTCCTAAATTATTTTTTCGAAGTTCAAGCATTATTATTTTAAGTCACAAAGATCACTCATGAGTTATTGCAAAATTTTTATCTTATTTTTAGAAGTCAAGGACTGTTTAAGTATTGAATCTGCATCAGTTATCTATTCTTTGGAACTTTCAGCATTAGGGGATTGGAAATTTGAGCTAAAATTTTAGATTAGTATTTTTTCTGTTCTATAAAAAATCCCTCTTTTGCTGTATGAGTCTCTTGTAAGTTGAGGGAGAATAAAATAAGCATTTTCACACTCTGATGGGTCAAGTAGAAGTTCTCTTGCAAAATTCTCACAATCCATAGAATATCTGTCCTTAAAATACCTCTTATATTAAGAGATGAGGAATTTTTTATTGCAGATCAACTTCCTATACTATTAATGCAGCTGATCGCAAGACTCTTTCATTTCTATATAAAGAATTAAAATATACTGCTGATTCTTACCTTCAAACTTTATGTTCTCATAGTTATAGTCTTAGTTAGGGACATTAATACAGAGATTTTTTTCGTTAAATTCCCTAATATTTTTAACCTCTTCCTAAATTTACTCTTTAATTTTTTCATTTGAATCATGACTAGCCCTTGAGCATCTCGATTGTTTATCTTTTTGACTAAGTTATTAGAAACTATAGTCATTGGAACTTTCACTTTCTCTTGTTTAGAAAGAAAAAGCCCATTGCTTTGAAGAAGACGTATTAAATTATTAAAGGAAAAATTTCTAGTAGGCGTCAAATCTGAGTTTATGAAAGTAAAATTCATTGCTAATCTTTTTATTTATGATTTTGTTGGTCATAAATAATGCATGTATCTCATTGCATTTCAGATAAGACAATATGACCAGGAACAAATTTTTACTCAGATCTCTATCGAGTTTGAACTTCTACCCAGGCTTGAATCTGCTTTTTTCTTTCTAATCAAATCTGCAAACTATAACGCTCTTCTCAATCTTAATGTCTGTCTTATTTTATTCAAGTTATTCATATATTAAAGACTCCTCGAGCTAAGACAGCTTTTGATAGAGTTCCTCACTATTCATTTTTTAAGTCTAGTTCTTTATTAGATTATATTAATAATACCTAGGTTATTGGATCTAAGCTACAACTTCAATTATTTTTAGTAATCTTATCAGATCGATAATAATATATTTTCAAAATAAAGATTATCAATAGAAAATGGATAAAATTCTCAATTTTAAATGCTATGGGGTTTTGGGGTTTTGGGGTTTTGGGG